AACTAGCGAAGCAAATTGGTTGATAGATTTTTAAACAGCACAGTCACGCGTGGAAGAGTTAGAGCAATTCACCAAAACAGCAATTATCACCTTTCAAAGACTTTTCTTTTTTTTTTTTCAAGTTCCAGTTTGGGTTGATACGTTCTGCCTTTCTTTTAGGCAAACAAACTGGTCACGTCCTGTTATATATATATTTTTTTTTCCTGCTTATATATTTCAGGTTAGGAATTGGTGCTGGTAAAAGTGAGATCTGTCTTTTCAACTCTTTCGTGGAGCCCAAGCGCTCGTTAGCAATCGGCTAAATGGCCTCGGAGCAGACAGCACCGGGCTGTTCGGGCAGCCCATGCTTCTTTGGGGAAATCATATTATAAATGGTGTGGTTTTACCAGTGCTTCCCAAAAAGTGCATCTTTCCACCCCAGCGTATGTCAGATGCAGAAAGCAATACAGTGCTGATGCACACATCGAGAGGCAAAGTGTCACAAACGTGTATTTTGTCATTTCACAGGCATTTTCTTGGGAGAGTTTCTCCTTTAATATGTTTTTTAGGTAAAAGCAGACAGCTGCTAAAACTTCTAGCAGACTAATAATCTTATTGAGGGTTAAAATGCTAAATGTGGACTTTCTTGTATAAATAAAAAACAAAACCAAAATTCTCCAGCACTTATGTTTTCTCCCTAAACACCTGTTTACCATATCACCAGTAGCACACACACACAAAAAAAAAAGAAAAAAAGAAAAAAAAAAAGAGGACCTTCCTGGGTTTTGGCATCTCTCTCTGAACTTACAAAAAAGAAATTAAAAAAGGACAGATTTTTGTTCAAGTCAACGTGTGAATGGCATAGGCTGCTAGACATTCAAAGGCTGCTGCTAGGACATTCCAAGACAGTAAAACATATAAGAGGCAATTAAGCATTGAAATTTCGGATTTAAATCCAGTATCTCTTAACTCCTGCCTGGCTTTAGAGTATTTTGTTTTAAATATTTCATTAGTATGATTCCCAATTAAACTGGCTTGTCTCTGCAGAAAGCAATGTATATATTTATGACTCAAGTTTATCCAAGAATATAGTGAATATAGTCTTATGCAAAAAATATAACCACAGATGGAAAGCTACCTGAAACCTGCTGCTTTTTTCTGACAAACTTATGCTCCCGGTGAAGTCTCCAAACTAATTAGAATTGATTTATTATGGATCAGGTACCTTATCAGGTGAAGAAAGAAATTACCATGGACAGTCAAAGGGTTGAGAGGTCAATACAGAATAGCAAAATCAATTTGCATTGATTAGACAAAAGGTCCATTTTACAGAGCCCAAAGGATTAACTTTTAAGCAAACATCTTTGAACTATAAGACAGCATTTGTGACTGAGAGGTATAAGCAGTGCAGCATTAGAAAACACTTAAGATATTTAAATAAGAAAATAATGCAAGCAATGGTTTAAGCTATCTGGATGTTTATTTTTTATTATGAATCATCCCCAGGATTATTGTACAATTCACTTGAAAGCCCTACGGAAAGGATGCAATTGTTTCATTTATCCCGCGTGTCAATCTTCCCATGAGTTTTCATTCAGGTAAGGTGACTAAACTCAGGAGAGTTGCAGAGAAGGGAGGAAATCTGTGCAAAGGATCGCACTAATCCTGGTGTTGGTTGCGATGAAATATTTACTTGGCAAACGTAGTGTTTTACCACCAAACCTGATGAGACTTTTTTTTCCAGTGAAATACCATTGTAAACCAGATCTGAAAGACTAAAAGGAAGGACGCTCCCTTCTGTGGGTCACCCCTTCCATTTTCTGCAGCACCCGAAGCAGCGCAATGCCACAGGAAAGCCAGGAGAGCATTACTGCAGCAAAAAATAATAATCCCCAGACAAATATTCTTTACTTCCTCATCACTTTGTTTTCAAAGTTTATTCCAAGGAGCCCATATTTCTCTGCCCCTTATCTTGGACTTCCCCCTCCCCCTGAATAAAACTTAAGAATGGGATCGTGGACCCAGCGTATTTGCTGTGTGCTACCACTTGAAATGATGTAAATATCTGCATTAATTCTTAACTGGGCTTCAGAAAAGCCTCCGTGTTTGTACTTTCAGGTAGCCACCTTCGGCAGCAAGCATTTTCCTTCCCTTGGTACCCAGCATTGCTCTTACCTTCAATAGCAAGCATTGCTCTTAGCTCCCGGTTCAGCAGTTCGTAGCGCCTTTCTAGGTCATGTTCTTTTTCCCTAGGCAAGTTACAAAAGTTCATCAATATGTTAATTACTAAATCATTAAACACTTAAAAGAACCTTTAACTTACATTGATTTTAGGACTCGTAACCGACTTTTCTCTTCAACTTTAAGCTACTCCAAACAAATGATACACAAACTTAAAACCTTGCTCAGGTGGCATATTCAGTAACAGGGCCTTTTCATTTTCTATAATGTCGGCTTTAATTCAGTCAGTTTAACTCTATTGTGCTACAGGACGTAATTATTTCATATTCATCCTTGGAGCAGCTGTTGTGGAATGTCCTAAGTATAAAACATTCCCCCGGATCTAATGAACAAATTCCAGCATCAGCCTATTCACCAAGACAATATGACACTGGAAGTATTATCCTATATACATTCTGACCTAATGAATAATGAAAATTAGACACGGGATTAGAAAGCTTAATATTTTGAAGGTAGAATCTTCTGTCAAGTTCAGACACGGTAGGAAATTTGTGAGCACAGGCTCTTCCCAGGGAAGTATGCAGGCATCTACACTAGGTGGCATTACTGAAAGAAATATAATCAAAACGAAAGAAGCTGGAAAAGAAGCGCCAAGGGCAGAACACCTCTAAAAATGAGCAGCGTCTTCTCCCTTCCTCGCCGGTGCTAGTGAAAAAAGTTTATTTGTCCTTACTTTGCAGTATTGGTAGTATCATTGCACTGTGACTGATTCACTAATATCCTTTCAGCAGTCCAGTGCTGCTGAACTAGTGATAGGATTGAGGATTTCTACGAAGCAGGTAGCGACTCAAATTTTGCTCTCTCTTCGAATAGTCTTCACCTGTCACATCTGAGGCACAATCCAAATCTATTTGCGCATTTCTAAAATGTAATTTTATTCTACTGTTGGGCCTTTGAAAATGTAACTGTGCTTAATATTTCTTTATTTTTTTTTTTTTCCACAGCTCTGGCTAATCTTGTGTCATTGCACGCTTCTCATTTTCAAGTCTGAAATATGAGAAAAACAAGTTACTCGATGTGTTCCACAAATCATCCATGCTACTCACTTTTGAGGGAACATTTTTGAAGACTAATGGGAATAAACTAAAAAAGTTTTGCATCTATCTGCTGGGCAAATATTCCAGTAAATCATCTTTTTGTAAATACATGTATCCATCCATACTTACAGAAGAGAAAGCTGGTTCATTCGTCTTATTAAGGCATTCTTCTTATTAACCAGCATGAACCATTCCTGCATCATAGCTTCTTCTTCTTCTGTGTTTCTTCCTGCAATTGAAAGAATTTCATTACTTACCTGGCATTTTACAAATTGAGCTACATATTTCATTTCGGGTTTTGGAGTATCGGTCTCCGATATCATTGAGCATTACAAGGCATATAGTAAATGGTAAAAATATCATATGGCTGCAAGTCCTGCCACCCAATCCTGCTTGCTCCATGACTAAATCTTTGAAAGCAGCCACTCTTCAGCATGTATTTTAGTGTTCTTTATCATGCTGATACCCTGACCTAAATAAACACCTTTTTAAAAGTACTGTATCTTTTAAATTCTCCCGAAATAACTATATTGTTGTGATGTTCCCAATGAAAAAAACCTTGCTGCTAAAAGATGTCTGGTCATCACAATCTTCCAAACACAAAAACAATCCTTGTGGGCAAGAGCCACTCCACCCATACAAACCCAGCACAGTCAGGATGACGTGGTAGGGATCAAAGTAGCTGCAGAGCAGATGGTAATCCTGAACCCTTGGCCGAGGCGCAGGCACCTGCTCAGCTTCTCTGTGCTTATGGCTACTCTTCCAGACGATGAGCTGGAAGGAGCTGCTCCTCTCTTCACCCGCAATCAAAGGGAGCCCAAATACAAATAATTCTGGGGTCCAGGTGCCTAAGGGTCCCCATGTGTGTATGCATGGACTAGCATTCCTTTCCCCAGCCCACATCCATCATTGCCTTCCAGCCAGGATCAGGACCCTCCATAGCCTACCCGCAGGCAGTACTACACTCTACCAGACTCTATAAGACTCTACGTTACCATCTCTGCACCATCAGGCCATGTGGGGAAAAGGCAGACAAGCACCCAGAAGGCTCCTGACTGTCTTTTCCACGTAGCAGGGTCGCCTAGCCAAATTTCACTCTCTCTGAACTCATGGACTAGGAGAAACCTCATCAAATTCCTTTGTGGAGACTGCACCTCTGTAGTGACCTGCCATTCTCATCTCTCAAGTTGAGCTGAGGAGCAAAGACTATATGGTCCTCATTGAATTATGAAACTCACACATTTCTTATGGTTAAAATTAATCTGGGAAGAAACCTGGAATAGTGGCAAAGGAGCATGAGCTGGGTCTTCTGAGTACTTCTCTCAGCTTCGACACTGCTTCACCGGGAGACTGTGGGCAGATCTCTGAGTTTAAGCGCCTTGTGTGTAATATGGGGATAATACCCATACCGATCTTGCAAGGGCGCTAAAAGTTAATTCTTGGATGTTTGTAAAGGGTTTTGAAATCTCTGATGCAAGGTGCTGTACACTTGGGGAAGCTATCTTATTAACTTAAACCATAGGATCCCTAGTTGCAGAGAAGCAATTTCCAGCATCAGAAGCTGGAAAGACACCAGAAAAAATATTGTTTTGCTCTAAAAGAAAGCTTTCAATTTCTGGATGGGAGTGTTTGAAATGCTTGCACGTACGTGCCTGCCACGTGCATGTTCACACCCCAATGCCACGGTAGTGTGCAAGCCCAGATCTGCATGGAGAACCACCTCCTCACCCAGCTATGACCCTGCTGCGTGCAAGGGAAGGTCAGCAGCCTTCTCCAAACTTTGATTTGCCCCGCTGTGGCCTGTGGGCTTGGTGCATCCACACAAGGGAAGGTAAAGGAGATGAACAAGGAAGTGGGTCAGCTCGGGGTGGAGCTGGTGGACCCACACAGTAAGAAAAAGTTACGCCATTTGGTGTGCTCTTCTTTCTGATGTGAAACAAGCCCCCGTATCCATTTATCAACCTGGGAAGCTCCTGGTTGATGAAACTGTTCCTTGGAAGGGTGCTTTTAGGGTACACAATTTGCTAGCGGCAAGAAGGGAAGGGCAGAGCATCCTAAAGTGGGGATAGCCCTGCAGCCTTTTTCCAAGCAGAAGAAGCAGGGTCCAGCTCCTGGACAATGGAGCAATGAACGAAGAAATTTGTCACGTAGAAATGCTCTCCCCCAAGACCTTCAACTTCTGGTTTTGTGCAGAAAATATTACACCACAGCATTTACAATAATATTCAGCAGTTCAGCACTCCCCCAAGGAGGATTAAAACTTATAAGTACACTTTGCTGTTAAGTTACAGATCAAAGGTGTTGCTGTATTGGTCCCTCTAACAAGGTCTGCTTTTAGAAGTAGATGATAATCAATATTAGCAACCTTTCATTGAAATGCACCAAGTAGCTGAAATTTATTTGGGGGAGAGGGAAAGAAAAAGAGGATACATTGCCTTTTTTATCCTTGCAAAATGACCGGTCTATTCTGTGACGCATGAGATTGCCACACTGCCAGTGAAAAAAAGTTCTCACAACCAGACATACATGGCCATAGTAACACTTTAATCAATTTATGACACTAAATTTTTTGGGTTTGGGGTGGTCTGGGATCTCTGGCTAAAAGATGCCATTATAAATGAAAGCTTTTGCTGTATTTAATTTTGCATGCCTTGAAAAAGAAATGAGAGACAGAAATGTTTCAAAGGAGTTTGACTCAACAGTGGACCTGAACTTGAATTTCATGCCATGCAATCTCAGGGCAAGAACATAAACTTCTCTCTATTAATGCATTCCTCCTAAATAAAGTTAGTTGCAACATATAACAAGAAAAGATCTAGGTAAAGCTTGGAGCTGTCGAGTCAGATCTGAACAGGTGCCCATTTTGATATTTCCACGCTGACACTGAAGCACACGTGATATCCATAGAATACGCTGGTTTAAAAGTGAGTTAACAAAGTCTTGATTGTTTTTACAGAATTTTTAATCTGTTTTTGTATTCGCTTTGGACCCATGTGATGCCCTGACACCGGTCATGTGATATCGGCTGCGATAGGCACAAATCCCCGGGCAGCAACAAAAGAAGAAAGAGTAAAAAAGAAAAAGCTGAGAAAAAGCTTGCAATTTGGAAAAAGGCCAATTGTACCCTGGCGAAGGCCTTTTTGATCAGTGAAATGACACATGTGTGCAATATTAATAGCAGTCGATGCTGATATTTTATTTGTTGACCATCAGCTTTTAAATTCTTGCGCATGGAGCTGAAACAGATTCTTCCCAGGCAAGCAAAATAAAGATGAATTGCCATATATAAAAAATTTAAATAACTCTTTTCAGCCAATACAATACCATTAGCACATTACTTAATTTGTTCTTTTTCCTTGGTGGAAGGATGCACGTGAAACACTTTCAACAAAGAAAAACTGAGTGTTGTTACTGCAGCGATATTGCAAACTAAACTCACATTTACAATTTCTAAATAAAAAATTTTAAAAAAGCCTTTCTTAAACACAGTTTCACTCTGTAAAACCCTGCTGCTGCTGGGGTTGTTTTTGTTTTCACTTTCCAAGTGTAAAACAAGGATTTAATTGACTTCCTGCAAATGCTTGAAAATTAAAATTGGGAAAATATCTATGTTGTTCTTGGGGAAAAAAAAATACTGTATAGGTTATTTAAATGAAGCGAAAAACATGTTTGAGAACAAATCGATCCCACACATGCAAACCCCTTATCTGAGCCAGTACAAGATGATGAAAATCTATAAATAGTCCACAGATCTTAAACTTAAATTTTTTTCCATAATACATGCATTACACTATTGTTTTCGATAAAAACAACAACAACAACAACAAAACCCTTTTAAAGCTAGTAAGTTGGACCATTACAAATTAATCCTGACTTTAATAACTGGTTAAAGACCCCTTCAGCTTTATAAGTAACAAAAAATATTAAAGCCTGTGATCACAGCGAGCTTTTCTCATTTCTCCTCTAACCATTTGTTATTTAATCCAATACTAGTAATCCAATTTGTCCATCAGACTTTTAAAGGGCAGAATGCAACTTCCCCAGCTTAGACACTTTTCAAAGTACAATATATTTTTCAAATGAATGCTGGATGTTTCATTTTTTCCCCAACTGTTCCTAGCTCTAATGTATGAGGAAAAAAAGAACAAGATGAACATTGTTCGTACTGATTAAGTAAGAGCTCATTAAAGAGCTGTCAGTGCCGTACTTTGAATATGCATGAAGCATATAATCAGATCTAGTACCGTCACTAGAGGAGAATACGGTAAGTACAAAGGATTGATTTAATTACTTAGAGTGGGCTGTGGTGGTAAAGCAGTCTTGTTAGCGCAAAAAGAAAAGGAGGTTGTATTCTGGCACGGTTAGGGGAAAAAGGCAGTTTTAGCTTCTGCCACAATACCTAATCTCAGGATAAAGCACTTTACATTGTAGCTTAAAATGAAGACTGTCAGTTTTCTAAAAAGACCAGAATTCATCTTATCTTGTTTAACCTCACCTGGTTAACTATCTAGCAGAACATATTTATTCTCTTTAACACATAATTATGCTTATACCTTTTTATCCTATAGCTCAATAATGACTTCTCAAAACAGCCTTCAAATAAGAGCGCGTAGTGCTGCAAACATCATATGCGTGCAAAATGCTCGGTAAGAGATTTGAAAAATGCAGAACCAGAAACTAAGACGAAACAGTAAGTACACGCGCCTTTAATATAAAAGACAACACAGCTTTTAATGTTGGACTTTATTATTAGATAGGTTCTGAGGAGGATTCTGGCAAGGTTTCTCTAATTTATTTTCTTTTTCCCCTCTTCCTCTCTACTTTCTTTTTTTTTTTTTATTTTCTTTTTTTTTTTTTTAAATCAATACATTCTTGTTTTATTCTTCCTCTAGGAATCCAGGGGAACTATACATGCTTTTTTTTTTTTTATTTTCTTTTTTTTTTTTTTAAATCAATACATTCTTGTTTTATTCTTCCTCTAGGAATCCAGGGGAATTCTCTCACAGCAACTCTCAGTGCCATTTTCTAATTTCATTGTCTGGCTTGAGTGGTGAAGGATGCACGCTCTATTCTTCTCTTCACTTGACATCTACCAGAACCCTCCTCAATGATTAGGAACGAGCCAACTCCAAGCCTGGAATAGCACAAGACACTAAATTCTGCCCTCAGATACAAGAAACTCCTACTGACTTCTGAGTTATGATTCTGCACTGTGATAGCTCCTGCGCA